ACCGTCCAGTTGTAGGACATGGAGGTTTGAGTGTCGGTCCCGGAGCTCATCCAACGCCGCATTAGTGGCCTGTCGTGTAGTGGCGATCACGTGCTTCGGTCCACCGTTGGGTTTGGCCAACAGTGCGGTCACTAATCCGAGACCAATGCCACGATTGGCTCCCGTTATTAACACCGTCTCAAAAGTCATTGTTTACAAATAAATGTAACACTTATTTGACGAGAAAAATAATAATTTATTAAACATCACATTTACACAGTTTTCAATTGATATGTTTATCATATCTTTAACCTTGACATTATTAAATAGTTGTATTAAATATTAAATCATGTTTTAATCTTAGCTATCATATATTTTTAAGTTATGAGATGGTACTCTTATTAAATAGTTTTTTTAAAAGTTATTTTTAAAAATATATCAAGTTGCTAAATTATAATTTTAATTTCGATTAAGAATTATTTTATTTTGAAAAATTATAAAATGCAAAATATTTCAATAATTCTGAGAATATTATATGATTTAGTTAAGTATGTATTGAATTTTTTAAATAAATCAATTCAATACGGTATTACGGTGTCATCGTAACCAATTAATTTGCCAGCATCATTATCAGTCAACTTATTTAACACGTTTAGTATACCATTAACACTAGTCTCCACATTAATGGCCCCTCTGGGACCGCCCATATCGGTCTGCACGTGGCCCGGGTGTACGGCCACAGCAATAATACCATGTGGCGCCAAATCAACGGACAGACACTTTGTGATCATATTTTGAGCCGCTTTACTCGTACAGTACGGGTAATACATAGCCGGTCCAAACTTATGCGCTTCACCAATTGAGCCCAGATATGATGAAATGTTGACCACGGTTGTTTTGCGCTTGGTTGCTCCCGATTGCTGTAAGTAATTGTTTATAATTAATAGGTGTATATTTATATTTAAATCTTAGCAACAAAATTATTTAAATAATTAAACCATTTAATAATTTTAAATAATAGTAATTTAGGTATCAAGATTTTAATAAAATATTTTTTATTTCTTGGTGATTATATAACTTTTATTTTAGTTAAATCTTTGTAATTAAAAATATTTTAAACTAACCTTAAGCACTGGCAACAGTGCTTTTGTAAACATTAGTGGCGACACTGAATTGACCTCAAAGTTGGTGACCATATCGTCGGCGGTCACGTCATTCAGAGTATTTCTCAACAAAATGCCGGCGTTATTAATAAGTGTATCCAAACCCCTGTCGCCCACAATATCAGGCCACTAATCCAGCGTTGGATGAGCTCCGGGACCGACACTCAAACC